ATGAGCACTGTTTACCTCTGTTAATCTGGCTTTTTAACCTCCACATTCTCAGTCACAATAATGATATGTGACGAAATTTCATCAATAAATCTCTCTGAGCGGCTCTTTAGATACTTTTAAGAACAACAAATAAAATTTGAAGCACCTAGTTCAGCAATTAATGTCACACTTATTATTGAACTGCAAACGATCAATTAACCAATCAGGTTTGGGAAAATCATGTGGGCTTGGACAAAAATTATTACAGATGCCCTCCCCCTGTTTTTTCTTGAGGAGTTTGAGTTATCGAGTGTTTGAGAGTTATTGAGGGTTTGAGAGATCACGGGTGAATGAAATGATTATTACAGTGATCAAGTAAAGGAAATCTTAAGATAATGAGTTTTGTTTTGAGTTAGGGCCCTGTTGCATGAGGTAATTTCTCTTGTAATTTGTATAGCAAGTTGGTTGTGAGACCAGTCACAAATTGAAGAATAATAAATAAGAGAGCCTTTATTGGCAAATTTGAGCAATCAAGACCTGTTCAACTAGGTATTAGGATTTCAAATTGTGCTCCATAAACAGTGTTGTAAGATGATTGTATAACAAAATATGAGCAGTTGTGTGTGGCTTTTACCATGGAGAAAGGCAATTTAAGAACTTTTCTGACAAGACTGACCTCTTGTCCAGTCAGGAAAGAAGGTTTAAAAGACCCATCGCAAAGTACATGTCAAAACAACAAACAACATGTACAAGATTAATAGTAGGTCAGCAGTCCATTCATAGTACAGTTTCAATGGACAGGTGTGTTATTTAAAGTTAATGCTATCATTTCTGTGCTGTATCTCATCAGAAACGTATCAAGTTACCTGTGACAACCCTCAATGAACATATAATCTGCAAGTTGTGCAATGGTTATCTGGTTGATGCAGCAACAATCACAGAATGTTTACACACATGTAAGTATAAAATTATTATGTTTAAGTAATAATCCCCTAAAAGAAGAGAATTCTTAGAAGAAGCAAAATTAAAGAGGTATAATTTGTTTTACCTTTGGTTTGGAAACTCCAAAGCAGAAACCCTTTGAAAGTAGGGAATGCATATACAGTTGGACCTGGCTAATGCAAACTCAGTTATTGCAAATT